CATATAGAGCGAAAACAATTATATTGAGTAAGATGAGAGCAACCTTATGTTACGAGCGCGAAAAGTCTTGGATATGTAGTTAGGTTTGAAGCAATATTTCCGAAAGCGCAAATGTTTACTTCGTCCCAAACTTTTATCTATGTGGGTTACCACAAAAAGGCTCTGTGAAGAAAGCGGAGTCTATGGAGAGCGCTTTAGGGCGCGTATTTACATTTTGTAATGTTGAGGTTATGTATTCACCTACGTCAAATTGCAAATATCTCACACGAAAAAGCGAAGATCTCTTGAAATGAATTATCTAAATTATTTCAGACGATTTGTCGGTTGCTTTTATGACCTATCTTTTCCTAATTTGTGCGCTTTAAGCATTTAGCTCGTTCTTCTGTTGGATTGTACAAAAACGCAACTCGAATGAGTGCCCTTACTGGCCTGTGCATAACTAACCAACCATAATGCTGGCTTGTGTATGGATCGCGTGCCACTGGTCAGGGAGGACCAAGGCTGCAAATGGTACTGGAAGTTTTGCCTTGAGAATTGGATAGGAACTCGGGGGATGGCAAAGTCTGGAACTTGTTTTTGTGCACAATCCTAATCCAATCGGCACTTTCCTCAGCTTATTTATCAGTCTGAAGTACTCAATGTTGCGTTCCCGTCAAAACACCCACCAAAGCTGCACAAGGTATAATAACGCCCAAAACCAAGCCAAAAACATGTGTAGAATGAATGCCGCGAAAACCTCCTGGGGTTTCTTACGTCTTGTGTTATCGGCAAACAACAGTCGGAGAACACTGGGTTATGATTTGCTATTGGGTCAAATCTTTCGACCAATCAGAGCTCAGCCTGATGCCACACCGGTAAGTGGCCCCACGCGTTGTCCAATCATGTGTGGATTAGGCTTCTTGACCGTGGCAATGCCTAGTTGCAAGCGGTAGAGCGGTAAGATTGGAGTTCCTCCGAACGGCTAGAAAAATTTTCAATGAACGTCCAAAAAATCGCATCCTAATAATCTCTTTGCTGGTTCCCTGATACTGTACCACACAAGCTTTGGTCCCAAAACAACGACTGTAAATGTATCGGTTCCACTCGCCTAACCAACCAAGTCTCAGCCATACAACAAGACAGTTTGCTTTCCGGCCTGATACGCATGTCCCTTGAGATTCAGAGATGTACCGCTTTGACGCCATAGGTGTTTCAAGTTAGCAAACGTGAGCCTACCCTTGCAGACTGGTGCATCGTCTTCATGTGTCAAACTAGAACGGGAACCAATACGACTTCCGAGATATGCGAAACGCTCCACAATATCGGGCTCTTCTCTCCGGATTGTAAGTGGCGTGTATAGTGGCTGCATTTTCACGGGCATGACCTTACACTTTGTGGGTGCAAAGTGCGTTCCGTAGGACCGAATGGCCTCGATCATTTCATTCAAAAAGATCTGCATCTTCTTCCCATTCTCGAATATGAAGACGATGTCCTCTGCAGATTCTAGAACGACAACGATTTTGTCACGGGGTATTATCTGCACACACATCCGGGACATTCCTTCATGGGCGAGCGTGTCAAGGTGAACAACCTTGTCAACTTATCCAAATGGATCCTGAAAATCCGGTTGCTCTTATGTATGGCGTTTTTCTAGCGCCTGACGGCCTGTGAATAATTGGTCAACGCAACGACCTCCTGACAGGACCCCCGCTTGCTGCTCTCGAGTCGGTTTTTCACGAGCCACCACAAGGCAAAGAAGCACAAGTGACGCCGATAGCCTCGTTATGCCTAGGGTCGAGCTGATCATCTTGTGGTTACCGCACTCGCTACGGACCTCGTTTTGAAAAATGGGCACCATTATCGGCTCCTCCCATTTGACTAGGACAGTCTTCTTTTCTAAAATGCAGACAGACGAATCAGACAAGCGCTGACGAAGGATTTTACCCCAATCTTTGAACAATGCGGGTTGGAGGCCATATGGACTGAATGCTCGGTTCTGCGACAACCTTGAGCAATAGCCGAGTGGCATCTGGTGGCCAAGATAGCTGATGTCCGAAGTATTCGACTCACTGGTGTAGGCGTTCTTCCGTACTCAAGAAGGTCACTCTGATTTGACCCTTGCCGGTCTCGTTCACATGTGCTTTCCGTGGTCCGGTCGCACGAACCAACGAGAATAATCATGGGGCACTTTCATCTTTACGGCCACCTCCATTTTCTCGACCTTTTGTGTCCACGGTTGGCTCTTGAGCTTGCTTCCAACTGACGTTTACTGCTTCGTCGGGTCAATTAATACCCCGCACCGGGTAAAATATTTTATTGAGATTTGTGCAGTCCATTGTTTGGTCGGATATCCAGCGCTTGAGTGAGACTGGTTGCGGCGTGTCGTAGGCAAAACCCTCAGTACTGTGCAAAGAGGTAGCGATCTTGTCCCACTACAAATTCGCATCTGGTGGTGGAGCATTTGGAAGAGACTCTAGAAGACGATTTTGCCAGTCTTTCAGTGCCAAGCGGTTTCTCCGCACCTTACGCGGTCCTGGAAAACGAACAAGAGGCGACTCTCGACGAGTCCACGGTCAGAATCCACAAATGTTCTCCACGCCATCGGTAACTAATGAAAATGCAATCGAATTGAGTTCGTGGCCGGCACGTGGTTGGAGGACACCATGTGGCCAGACAACTTCGGCTATTTCGAAAGTCATTACTGCATAAAAACAACCTGCGGTCAGCACACAGTTGGAGAAACCGTTAACCATTTCCCGTTCGTACCGAGTCCAAGCCATGTCAACCATCAAATTGGTTCTCAGGTGCGCTAACACTGTCCACTTGTACGTTCAAACCTCCGGCAAGCACAACCATATCTGAGGTGTTAGCTCATCGCAATAATGCATTCAGGACGTCATAGAACATTTTTTGATGGTGTTGGAGCTACAGTCGGTCGGGGCGTAAGCAGACACGACAAACACATCAACCTGATTCCTCCCTGTGGGACGTTTCACAGACCTCGTCACACAAAAGTAACAGAGGTAACTGTCAACGGGTACCCAATCAAGCAAGAATCCTTCCGCCTGGTGCCATGGGACGATAACAATTCATGCGCCTCCTGCCGCAACATCTTTTGGATCGCCAGAGTTGCGCAGCCGGAAGCAAATGGAGAGTGGTGGGGCGGTTACTGCAACCATTGTATTTGAATTTTGAGTTCTTGTTTATGAGACCCAACACACATTAACGCCAAGCGAGTCCGATTTGAGAGAAGAGCAGCTTGGTGACCTGCTTATTTCAGAGTGCGGACATTGAAGGCTTCCAGATGGACTGGGCGTCGTGGATCAACTATCGATTTCGAGATGCCTGAGTATGTCGGCACCGAATGACGCGCACACATAGCTTGCCAAACCGCTTCAGAATAAGCGGAGTCATTAATCTTAAGCGCTGGGCCTACAAGAAGAGACTTATCAATGGGATGGGGAGAGTAGGAAAAAAGCTATGTGAAGGGTAAAGAAGAGAGGCGTGAGCAGTAGCCTGTTTTCGCCTACCCACACAGCTTTA